CTTAACAGCTTTAATTTGCTTGGTTCCACAAGCAACACTCTTGATATCACCAGCAAGGAAATCAAAAGATGAATTGTATTGAAAAAGTCTGATGTCAGGGACATCTCTAGAGTTCTGAAGAGCAATGATGTCAGGCTGGAGTCCAAAGCTAAACAATGACTAGGGACGATAGAATTGATGCCTTTGAGCTGTGGTGCTGGAGAAGAGTACTGATATAGCATGGACTGCTAGGAGAACAAACAGGCTCATTCTAAAGAGGGTGAAGCCAGGCTGCTCCTTGGAGGCAAAGATTCTGAAACTTCGTCTGACATACTCTGGGCATGTTGCAAGGGGGTCCAGTCCTTGGAAAGGGAAATTATGCTTGGGAGGGTGGAGGGACAGCACTGGAGAGGAAGACTCTCAATGAGATGGATTGACTCAGTGACTGGAGTAATGGAGGTAGGTGTATCAAAGATGATGAGATTGACTCATAGTAGAACAGGGTTCAGAGCTATTGTGCACAGAGTTGCTATGAGTCTCAGGCTACTTGACAGCACATAACTACAACGACATATATACCAATATTTGGTTTATATACATGGATGTTGTCTTGGGAAAGCCAAACCTAATAGACTGAAGGCAAGAATTCTACCACTGAACCATCATCCATTGTATTGCCTTGTGAAAATTCTTTCCCCTCTGTTAGCATCAGTCTCTGCATTGATAAAATGATTAGTTGGATGAGACTAACATCTTCAAATTACTCTCTTCTATGCTTTGAAATTTCCTTCAAGAAAACCCAAAGTGGAGGGTGTCAGGGGTCTACACATGAAGTTTAAGCACAGCCATTTGCAATGGGCTCTGGACACCTTACATCAGTCAATTTAATAGTTCTGTGGTCATCCAATTCATATTATGAACAGTTTTTTATTGGTCCTCTGCTAAAAATAAACATTTGGAAAATGCGAGACAATATTCTCTCCAAAGGACTCTTCCAGCTCCGGTAGTCTGTGATTCTAAACAGGTGGAATATTTGGTAACATCTTTTCATTCATCAGCATAATTGGGAGCTGAGGCGTGCCTGCCAAAACATAATCTATATCTAAATAAAATCTTCTGTGTGCAAAACAATGTCAGTGAAGGACATTCAGAAGAGAGTCAGCATGTGGAAGGGTTTGAATAGCTCAGATTCCTGTTTTGTAATTTGACTTTATCTGCCAAGTGAAGCTAGAAAGGAAGCCCACCATAGCCGATCTACTATCTGCTATTTTTGAGCCAGGAATGCAAACTTGTCATAAGTGAACTGAATCTGGGCCCGTAAAGATTTCAGAGAGCACATCCAGTGCTTTAAGGAGAGAACTCAAAAGGTAGGAAGACAGAGAGCAGAGGGATAAATGAAAACAAGAGCTATGGAGAGTGGAGAGGTAGTGGAAAGGGGGCTCATACACCACGAGGATTACAGCCAGTGTTGTGAAGCAATATATGTACAGATGTCTGAATGGAATACCAAACTATTTTGTAAACTTTAATTCAAACAAAGCACACAAAAAAATGCCCCTTTCTGGAGCAATTCTGTTCTTTGCACATGGGGTCACTATGAATTAGAATTAAAAAGAAACAACCTTTCAGTTAATTACCCTCAATATTTAGAAATTATAAAATGCATTTAAACCCCAGATTCTGGGATTCCTTTGAAAATAGGAAGATATGACATCCGGCTTGCATTCTACTAGGATGATATCAGGTGGACAGAGGCAAGGACGGTCCCCTTTTTTCAGGCACCCATGCCTCTCTGTGCTCTAGCCGGCCACTCCTCACCATATACCTGACTCCAGAGCATGGTGCCAGCTACCATGTATGACCTGTGCTTGCACTGTGCATTTTTCTCTACACTGTAGACGAATGGGAATGAAGGAGAGCAACTCTCTTTGTCATTATGCAGAGAGTCCTGATACTGCACTAGGCTAAGTGTTGGACTACTGACCAAATCCACAGGAGGAAAATGTGGTATTCTCTTCCTGAGAAGACTTACCACCTGGGAAACAGGAGCCTCATGGGGCGGCCCCACTCTGCCCCATGAAGTTGATATGAAGAGGCAATGAGTTTGGTTTTGTTGTTATTCAAAGTGAGGAAATAAAAAATATGTTAGTCTGGAAAATCAAGGTTCTTTATGGCATTAGCCCTCCACCGGGGGTGATACTGTTCTGATGGGACATTTAGCCCTGTCTGAAGGCATATGAAATTGTTGTCAGTTAGTGGGGTGCCACTCGCACATGGTCAGTAGATCAGGTGTTGTGGGTTGAATTTCATCCATCAAAGAGATGTATTAGAGTCCTGCCTGTAGCACCTAGGATGTGACCCTTTGGGAGAATTGAGGGAGGAGTTAATGAAAGTCATAGAAGATCTGAGGGTGATGGTTCCTAAACAAAAAAAAATCCTCCCGAGTGACGGGAAGACACCCTGTGATGTTGGAGGGAGATGCTTCTACAAGCCTGGGAACAAAAAGGATGCTGGCAGTGGTCAGAAGTTAAAAAGATAGAAATAAGGACTTTATCCAAGAGCCCTGAATCTGAATTTTTATCCTATAGAATGTAAGAAAATACATGTATCGCTTTAAAGTCACTCACTCGTATATTGTCATGACAACACTATGTTACAGTCACAGGGATGCTGCTAAACATCCTCAAATGAGTCACATGACAATCTCTGACAACAAGGACTAGCCTGACCCAAAGCATTGATAGCACCAAGATGGATAAATCCTGAGATATGAGTTTTATGAAAGTTTACCATGCTGCCTCTTCACTCCTTTACACCATCTGGCTGAACCCTGCATTTCCAGGCCTCAGCTTTGTGGGTTATGAAGCCTGATTGGCCAAGGTTGAAACTGAAGATAAGAAACCTCTGTGTGTGAGGTGGGAATGGCCTCAGGGCTTCACTTCCCCTTTGTTTCAGCCACAAGGATCCTCTTGTGCATCTAAGAGGAGGAGTTCTTGCCTTGGCTGAGGCCTGGTGACATTCAGTTCAGTCCATGCTTTGGATTTCAGAGCTTGTAAATGTCAGAGATGGCCCCAAAACACTGATAAGACTTTCCCCATCAATGAGCTCCTCAGCTCGCCTTTGGTTCACACTGGTCAAACCACACAGCCTTCCAGGAATTCAATGTGTGCCCTCAGCAAGAGCCTAACTGTGGCAACAGTTACAGACCCCAGGACAGTCTGTCCACCACGCAGTGCTTCCCACAGTGAACAGCCTGATGGAAAGGACAATAAAATGCTGGCCAGGAACTTGGATGGAGACCAGCAGATGGGAAAGGTCCTGGATGAGAGTAAAAAAAGGATCAGCGGTCACCAGGTGTTGAGGACTGGGGAGAGGGAAGATGAGGTGGAGCACAGGGAATTTCTTAGGAAGGTAAAACCATTCTGCACGACATTGTGACAATGCATGACCCATGACATTGGGCATTTGTCAAAACCCACTGGGCTGCCCAATATGAAGACTCAACACCAACACTAAAGATGAACTTTAGTTAATGCGTCAAAGAAGCTGATTCATGCATGATAGCAAACGTGCTGCAACATCAGTTCAAGATGATAACAGTGAAAGCACCAGTGAGAGAAGGTCTATGAAAACTCTACCTTCTGCGCACCACTAACTGTTCTAAAAGGAAAGCTTATTTAGGAAAAATAGTCCTAGCAAGAAAGAAGAAAAGCTTTGAGAGGTTACAAGTTAATTCCCAGTGGTGAGTGGAGTCACTATAGAGGATCCACATCCAAGCCTAAGGCAGAACAGTCAGCAAGTGTCCGGGGTCAGTCCCAGAGGGGACACCACCTCACAGCTCATGAGTAAGGAAGACCAAAGGAGACTTGCCTCATTTGAATTCTGGCACTGGAGAAGAATGCTGGATATCAAATGAACTGCAGCAAGACCAAATGAATCTATCTTGTAAGAAGGACAGCGAGAATACTGCTTAGAAGCATGTACCTGGAGCATGCAATTATGAGGGATCACTCTGTGGTGAAAGGCATAATGCTTGGCAGAATGTCGGTGAAAAATAGCGAGTCCTTCCTATATGAGATGCAAGTGAGATAGAATCACACCAGTGGCTACAACAACAGGCTAACACAGAATAGTGACTATGAGGGTGATGCCGGCTAAGCCAGCGTGGACACAGGGCTGCTATGCATTCGAACCAAATCAAAGGCACGGAAGAGAAACATAACTTGTCCACCCATTTATCCATCCATCCATCCACACGCCCCCCCCACCCCACCGCCTCATCCATATTTTCAACAAAATATTTACTGTGTGGAATTCTGTGCTTGTGCAAGGCACACAACCTCTGTCCTTGAGGAATCAAGGTCATGCTGTGGGATGTTCTAGATGTTTAATCACAAGTAAGTTACTTGCCTCTCTGTTTCTTTATCAATAAAGCAAGGGGAACAATTTCCATCTTGGAGGAGATGCCATGAAGATTCACTAGGACCTGTTTAGCAAGCCACAGAGGACTGACTTAAAGAGCTGGTAAAATTCTCAAGCCCGTCCTTTCCTTCCACACGTGAGCATCGCTGTGCTCACATATGATCCTGTAGTGCACTGAGAAAGGGAGATTATGAGTCCCCTTTTATTCATAAGACGCACAGAGGTCTCTGTGGGCCACAGATTGGCACAAGAGGCCAAGCAGCCCACCTACCAGCGGCAAGCTCCCGTGTGATGCGTGAGTCGGTAAGCGTTCACAGCGGGGCACTCATGCGCCCAACTCAGCCCTGTTAATTCCAGCCTGACCTCTGTTTGCCTCCAGTCAGCAAGCAGAGGCACATCCACAGCTGTTTGTGGGATGCGCATCCCTCTCTTTCACTGTACTATCGAGCACGAGCACGTAGAAAGGACCTGGGTCAAACTGACTGATTGACTGTTATTTCTGGCTCCCGCCGCTGAAACCCTTGTGGCCTCTAACAGATGGTCTTAAAGGAAGAGTTCGGGGTGCAGATGTGTTTGTCCGCATGTGCGTGCCTACTCACCAAGCTTGTACCACATATCTCGGATGGAGAAGCCAATTAACCGTCTCATGTCCCCGTACCTAGAAAGAGCACAAACCTCGGCCTCAAGCACTGTCTCAGTATCAGGAGACACCCCCACCCCACCCCCAAAGGAAATTCAAAACTGTAACCTACTTATCCAGGATTTTGTTGTGCTTGGCGTGTGAGAACTGTTCCAGCTGCAGCGAATCCTGGGTGATAAAAGCCACTGCCAGATGAAAATAGTTGTTCCACAGCTGTAAATGAAAGAGCAGAAAACAGTCACGGAGTGAGTCTGAAGTGGGAAGGCATATTAAATGCTGGGTAATGTGAATAATTTATGAGGATGGCAGAAGACAGAGGCAGAACCAGTTTAATTGTGTGCACTGCAATTTTCTAACTGGCACTCACTCTGAAATGAACATTCAGGACAAACAGAGGCCAATGGAAGGGATTTTTTTCTATGCACTGACCATATTCACTCTCTGATAAAGGTGTCTAGGAGGAAAAGGAGATTTTTAGGGCTGTTGTTTTGCTTTGGTTATGTTTTTGGAAAGACATATAACCCACCTCGGTTGGGAGCCCTGGTGAGCTGGCTCCTCGGCTCCGGAATTAGAAGGCAATGAGAGACTGGGTAGTTCAGGGACGTGACAGTCTTCCCTAATTCCGGACGTCGTCCCTAATTCACCCGACAGCTTGGAGGACAAGCCTGCCATCCGTTCTGTCTTAAAATACTTTGCCTTCTCCTTTCCCTGAGGGAGCTCTGATGGCTTAGTGGAAAGGAATTGCACTGCCACCCCAAAGGTATGCTACCAGTTTCTCTCAGAGAAAGATGGGCAGTCTGCTTCCGTGCGATTTACTGCCTCTGAAAACCTGCTAGAGGGCCAGCTACGGGTTGGTTCTGACTTGCCAGGACACAGTAACAACAATATGGTGAGGCTCTATTTGTGTGTGTGACATGGTAGAACTATGTTCCACAGGATTTTTAGTGGTCCATTTTTCAGAGGTAGATGGCCTTGTATTTCTTTGTAGGTGACTCTGGGGGAAGGGAGGACTCAAACCTCCAATCTTGTGGGTGGCAGCCCACAGTGTTAACTGTACCACATGACTGGTTATGTGTGGACTCATCACGTGTAGACATGTACATGGCCTAATTATGAGGATGATGCTAAATTTCAGGAATGTATCCTAGTGCAAGGTTCAGATCTTTTTGTTCATAGGGTCACTATGAACTCGACACAGTGATACCTAACAACAACGATCCTAGTACTCACACAATGAATAAGGAAGACTGAAGAATTGAAGCCTTTGAATTATGGTATTGCTGAGAATATTGAATATGTACGGACTTCCAGACAAACAATCAAATGTCTCTTGGAAAAATACTGCTGGAATATTCCTTAGAAGCAAGGATAGAGAAACTTTGCCTTACATATTTTGATTATGCTATTGGAGGATAGATAGCATCAATCAAATCCAGAGTTGTGCTTAAATCACAGCAAAAGATATGGTTAACAGAAGCTGGAGTTTTGCACTCTGCTTGAGTTTTAGCTTTCATTATTGGTTAACTTCTCTGGAATGAAGTTTAGCACTTTATTTGTCTCTGTATCTCTAGACCCATGTCTAATTCTCTGTGTTTGTACCCCTGTAAGCTGAGCTGGTATAGCAAATAGTTTTGTGTGGGGCCATTAAAATTCCAAACTTAGACCATGAGCTCATCTCCCGGCCAAATGTTATTGTTTGGGAAAGTAAGGGAGAAGCCCATGCTAAGATTGAAAAACACACCATTTGGCTCTGAAAAAGTAAATAACTTCCTCAAAGAAGAAACACCGAAAGATAGTAATGTATTACACAAGTTTTGACCTTCAAAATGCTCCAGATTTTTTCCCCCTTCCAGGGTGAATTCCTACTAAGTGCACTTCGCAGCAGGCTAAAATGCCTCCATTGAAGGATTTGTCAAAACACAGATATCATATGTTCTCAGTTACATAAATAGGAAAGCCTCTATCTCATAGTTATTAACTTGAAATCAATTCACAGCAGACTCTCCATTAGGTTTCTGACGCTATAAATGGCATGGAAGGAGACTGACCATATTTCTCCCTTAGAGCAACTTGTAGATTCAAATGGCCAGAGATAGAAGAATTGGCACAGAAGAATTTCAAGAAACAAGTTATGAGCAAGAGGCAATGGTGTTGAAGGAGGAAGTACAGGCTGCTCTGAAGGACTTGGCAAAAAATAAAGCCCCGGGAATACCAATTGATGTATTTCAGCAAACAGAGCTGTCCTGTATGTGCGCACCAAGTTGTGTCAAGAAATCTGAAGAACAACTGCTTATACTGACTGGAAGAGATCCATATTTATTCCAATTCAAAAAAAGGTAACACAACAGAGTGTGGAAATTATCAAACAATATCACTAATATCACACACTAGCAAAATCCTTCTGAAGATTATCCAGAAAAGACTTGAACAGTACATTGACAAAGAACTACCAGAAATACAAGCTGGGTTTAGAAGAGGTTGTGGCAGTAGGGATGTTATTGCCAATGTCAGATGGATCTTGGCAGAAAGCAGAGAGTACCAGATGAATGTCTATCTGTGTTTCATTGACTAGGGAAAGGCATTTGACTGTGTGGATCACTATAATTTGTGGATAACCTTGAGGAAAATGGGAATCTCAGAACACTTGATTTTACTTATACAAAACCTATACTTGGACCAAGAAGCAGTCCTCAGAACAGAGCAAGGAAACACTGCATGGTTCAAAATCAGGAAAGGAGTGTGTCAGGGATGCATCCTGTTCCCGTTCCTTTTCAATCTGTATGCAGAACAGATCATTCGGGAAGCAGGGCTTTATGAAAAGAAGCATGGCATCAGGATTGGAGGAAGACTCAATAACAACCTACGATATGCAGGACCTGAAGCACTTGCTGCAAAAGGTCAAGGACAGTAGTCTTCAATAAGGATTGAAGCTCAACATCAAGAAGACAAAGATTCTCACCATTGGGCCAATTGGAATCACAATATTAGATGGAGAAGAGATTAACGTTGTTAGCAATTACAGCTTGCTTGGATCCACAATCAACACTCTTAACACCAGTAGTCAACAAATTGCATTAGGAAAATCTGCTGTCATGGACCTCTCCAGAGAGCTGAAGAACAAAGATGTCAGTCTGTATATAAAGGTGCACTGAACGCAGGCCATGATGGTTTTCTCAATTACTTATTATGCTTCAGAGAGTTGGGCAATGACAAAGGATGACAGAGTAAGAATAGATGCCTTTGATTTGTGGTGCTGGAGAAGAGTCTTGAACATACCATGGAATGCCAAGAAAACAAATAGGTCTGCCTTGGAAATGGTGAAACCAAGTCTCTCCTTGGACACCAGGATTTTGAAGTTCCATCTCACTTTGGTCACATGGCCAGGAGAGATCAGTCCTTGGAGAAGGACATCATGCTCAGAAGGGTAGACAGACAACACAGGAGAGAGAGATCCCAGACAAGATGGATTGATACAGTAACTGGAGCAATGGGTTGCTGTGTCAGAATTAGTGGGACTGGCTCAGGACAGGAAAGGTATACATCGCAGGCAACTCAATGGCACATAAAAGCAGTAACATACTATGACAGGTTTGGAAGCAGGAGTGACATCCACTTTCTAAATAACATGCCTCCGGAAACTCTGTGGATTTTGATAAATGTTAATAGTTGTAGAGGGGCTTCAGGCCTTTTGTTCATAGGGTCACTATGAGTTGTGCTTGACTTGAAGGCAATCAACAACAACAACAAAGTCTCTATAGATGACACCAGCAAAGTTTCCTATAGGAAAGTGTATAGAATCTAAAATTCATTACAGAATATAAAGGAGAGGAAGGAAGAATAGGGAAAGAGAGAGAGCCTTACTATTTAATGGACATTCAATTTTTAAGGATGTTGGAAAACTCTGAAATAGGTAATGGTGATGGTTGCACAACATGATAAACATAACTAAGCCCTGGTGATGCAAAGGGTAAGTGCACACCTATTAACTAAAAAGTTGGTAGCTCAGCCTCACACAGTGGATCCACAGGAGAAAATCCTGATGACCCACTTCTGTAAAGATAGTTGTAGTTGTTGTTGTGGTTGTCATTGTTGTTGAGTACCACCAAATTGGAACCAAACCATAGCTGACCCTCCAGCAGGTTTTCAGAGTCAGTTAATCACACAGGAGGAGATTGTTCATCTTTCTCCCGTAGGGCAGCTGGTGGATTGGAACTGTGTGCCTTTGGAATTGCAATGCAGCTTCTTACCACTAGCTTGAAAAACTCTCTGGGAAAGTTTAACTCTGTCGCCTGGGGTCATTATGTGTCAACAGTTAACTCAAGACCTTCTAACAAAAGTATCACTGACTTGTACATGTGAAGAATATAAAAATGGTAAATCATTTGTTATAGATATATTTAATACAATTAAAACAAACAATCAAAAACAAAAATGTGCACGCGTGCGCGCGCGCGCGCACACACACACACACACACACACACACACACACACACACAGGTCCCTTTTCCCGGGCAGGAGGTATGAAAATTTTTTATTCAACTGAGCTTCCAAGGCTATATAAATTGCACAGAAAGGGACTGTGCATTTTTTCTCTTGGAGTGGGTTGGTAGATTTGAACTATCAGAGAAACCTGGCCTTTGAGTTAACAGTGTAACTCCCTATGGACTGTGCTACCAGAACTTCTCAATTCCTTTTTAGGGAGTGTCAGAGACAGTATGATTGGCACAGGACAGAGTAGAGTTTAGGGCTGTTGTACATAGGATTGCTATGAGTCGCAAGCGACTCGATGGCACATAACAACAACAATAATATTTTGAATCACAGAGCAATAGAGACTTGAAGCTGAAATGAACTTAAGGGTCACCTAGCCCAATTTCTTTATTTCATAGATGTGAAGGTCCAAAAATTTAAATGACCACCCAAAGTTATAGATGCTGTGAGTTTAATGAGATTGAGCTATTTTAAATTAACTGTCAAAAGACTTATGAAAATAGTAACACATATGCTTAAAAAAATTAAATGGCAAAAAAGATTATATAATAATAAAAGTTCTTTTCCTTCCTATCTTCTATTCTAGTCTAATTCCCCAGAAGAAAATATTGTTAACAATTTCTTGGCTACCATTACAGAAAAATTTTATGCATAAACAAATATATGTATAGGCTGCTATTTTTTTTTAATATTCTGCTGTACTTTGCTTTTTTCCTTTCACC